ATATACCAAAATATTAAATCATATATTATAATTATCCACGCGCGTATATCAGAAATTATTTTATAATCACGTTTATTTTTATAGATATATAATACCAAACAACCTGAACGAAAAGGCCAGCATGGACCATCTGACTTGTAATCCATACAGTAGATAGATGTTAAACTATATTTTCTCACAATTGACTATTTATTAATTGACGAATTTACGTCTACTATATAATTAAATGACGTTAAATTACAAGCGATTAGAAAATGTTTCCATATAATAATTGCAGAAATTTTAATTTATGAAAAGAAGTGCGTAAAATATTTTTTAAGTTCCTTTATATACTTTTCTAAATGTAAAAATATAAATATTGTTACGATACGTGATATTCACACAATTTTTCTTATAAACGCTGCAATAACTTTATTTTGAAAATTTTATTAGTCACTGATTAATATTTATAACTATTTATGTAAGACCTAATCTTTCCAAGAATTTTAATGCAATTCAAATTTATTTTTAAAGTATGTTTTTTATATTATAAAATTTATTCTATAAATAAGTTAAATGATTAAAAAATAGACTATTTGCACACTTAAGGATTTCATGTATCCTTAATTCTTTTGGCCTCATCAAACAACGCACCGTGCACATTTTGTGATTTTTACTTTCACAAGCTAAATCTTTATTATGAATATTTGCATGACGAAGAAATGAATATAATAATAAGAAATTCTCTTTTCAATAAATAATAAGTCTGGATTGTTAACGCTTACAATGACATTTGAAACTCGAATTCTTTTTTCTTTGAAATTTGATTAAATCATTGAAAATTATATAATCTTTGGCGTTTATAGGATTTATATAGTTGAAGCGATTTCAAGATAGGATAATGGAAAGTAAGATTTAGAATTTGGTGTCATATAGGATTTATAAGAAATTATTATTTACACGCATATGTGTTTGGTCTTATAAATTATTATTAAATAATACAAAGTATATACATATATATA